ACATGCCAGCCAGCCCGCCCCCTGGTGGGCTGAGCTGGCCACACACACACACCACTCTCTCTCTCTCTCTCTCTCTCTCTCTCTCTCTCTTTCTCTCTAATAAATAAAAAAAAAAAATTAAAAAAACCACCTAAGGGGCCGGGGAGATAGCTCAGTAGAATAAGCGCTTGCCTGGCAAGCTCAAGGCCCTGAGTACAATCCCCGGGTTCCAGAAAACAAAAAACAAAAAACACCTATGGTGAGCTGGGGAAGAACACAAAGTCAGGCAGCAACAAACAAACTGCATGCATTAAAGGAAAAAAAGAAGTACAAGGTGGCAGAAATGTGTGGCACCATAGTACGTTGACATACATTTTCTCTTGTGTCCCACCCACAATCATGTAAGACAGATTTATTATTCCCTAGTTCACAGAAAAGGAAGGTGAAGCTTATGGAGGTTAAGTTCTTATCTGGTGCTACAGGGTTAAGCAAAGGAGCTCTTCCACTCTACAGCTTGGGGCACGGTGATGCTATCAATAGGAAACCCTCAAGAATGTTCAAGCACAAAATTTCTTTTTACCACTCCAGAATATTTTCAGGAATTCAGCCATGTCAACAGCTTTCTAGCCTGTGAACCTAGTCCTCAGTGCTCATGAATGTAGGTTAAGTATCAGGCCCTAAAATGCTAACACTTGGGGTTATAAAATATTAAGTTGTTTTGTTTGCACAAGCTTTTATGCAAGTCTGTTTTCATTTCTAAGAGCCTCTAATAATTCTACAAGCCTTACCATAAGTTCTTAAGAGATGGGATACTAGCGAGATATTAAAAATAATAAATATTTCATTAGTTGGTAACTGAATAAATATAATACTTTGTCAAAAACAACAAAGCACCATGTCCATTTTTCAACTCCGTACTATACTCAAAGATATCTTTCACATGGCGAGTTTACGTCAGCATATGGTTTCAAATGCATTGCAGAGCTGAAATGAAGTGTATTCCTGAATAAAGTCATATGGTTAATAACATAAATCAGCATTTCCCAAACTGATATTTCTCAGAACCAGTTCCAAGAGCTGCTTTGTGGGGAAAAGAGGAGTTCTCTAGCTAAGTAAGTGTGGGAAACTCTTAGCTCCATACCCTCATTCTACTGTTTCTAGAAGCCTCTCGAGGAGCTTTGCTATGCTAATGTACTAGGAAGGCTAACCCTTCTTTGGCCTTACAAACTCGTGTGTGTGTGTGTGTGTGTGTGTGTGTGTGTGTGTGTGTGTGTATGGCATGTGCCTGACATAATTAACATTTCCTTTCACTAAAGCTCCCAAGGAAATGCTAATATAATTCAATACAAAAATCTTATATTTTTGTGTCAGCTTGCAAAATAAAAGACTGAAACAAAAGTTATGGGTAAAGTTTCTCTAATATCAACAACATTAAAAATAGACCAAAATTATTAGGCACCATGACATTAACAACATAAACTGAGTACACAAAGTATACCTTTGAAAAAGCACACATACCATACTTACCTGATCCCTAATTTGGGAAGTGAGGTGCTCGGCATCTCCTGTGAAATGTGCGAGCCTGTGTTTGTAGATCTTAGATGCCTTTCTCAGAGCTGTCACTTTCTGCTTGCCTGCTTCTTTCATGGCTTCCACCTCATGCTTATTCATCTTCAACTGCAAGTTCCATTTGGCTATTTTGGTTTCTAAACTCTAAAAAAATATGAACAGCTTAATAATTTCAGAAAGCCAATGTTTGCATAAACATTGTAAGAACATGTGTACCATCTTCTGCACAGATTTTTATCAAAACAGCTAGTCTGATGAATAAAACATGTGAAGAAAAACGATTTCCCCAATGCTTCTTTGTAACCAGTTAAAGGGTGTAAATTTAAAATATTTACATAAAACTTATACTACCATTATTAAATAGACTAATATTGGTGGTTATGATATAAATACTAACTTCTTTAAAACTTCTGTGATTTATTAGGACATTTTCAACTTCACATCTAGAATGATCCATAGAACTAGTTTTAAAAACTAGTTTAGGGCCAGCCAAATAGTTTAGCAGATTAAAGTGCCTGCAAGCAGCCTCAGAGGCCAGGGGTTTGATCCCAGGGCCTGCCCTGCCAGCCCTGTCCCCGGGGCCTGCTGAGATAGAGATTGAGACTGGGCATGGTGGCACACGCCTGTAATCCCAGCTCTTAGGAGTCTGTAAACAGGCGGATCACTGCAAGTCTGATCTAGTAGTGAGACCCTGAACACCCTGTAGACCTTTCCCTAAAATACAGAGGAAAAAAAAAACTAGTTTAAAAAACTGAAAATAGAAGTTAACCAAGTAAGAGGTATGCAGATTTCAAAGTGAATTGGTAACTCTCAAAACATATTAGAGCTCTTTAGTTTCAAAGATAAAAGCTTAATTCTCAAATACATTAGTATTCTTTAATGGGAAAAATAAAAGCTTAAGGAAGATCTGATCAAAATTATGAAGGGTAACAATGAGATGAACATAGGCCTTCCAAATTTTAATCTACCTAATTAAGGAGCATGCAATTACACTGAGAACAATAGAACTATTATTTTACCCAAACAATGGTAAGTTTTTGGTGGCTTAGTGGCCCCTCACTTATCACGGAGGTTGTTCCAGACAGCCCCACATAAGTGAAAATCAGCAAAGTAGCAACGTTATATTTTAGTATTTACATATATTTTTAGGCTTTATAAACCCTTCCCGCATTCTTATAAACTCTTCCCACATTTTTAAAAACACTTCTAATGTTCTTACCATTTTCTAAACTCATAAACCTATGGAACTTTAACAACATCCGTATACTGTATGGTACTGCACAATCCCACCATAGCAAAAAACTGCGGTAAAGAATGTAGATTAATATTTTTTGAAAACCCACAAAACAGTGAGTCTGTGAAAGCTGAACAGCAAAATAGCGAAAGACTACCGTAATGATTGATTCCAACACTAAGCACGTTTAGATATACCAAGGACTACTGGATCTAAAAGATCACCTAAAGGTGAGTAGGTCGCTGAGGACAGTCTGGTTCAGAGTGATTATGTTAACTGGCACCCTCGGCTCTGATGCAAGTCCTGGTAACATAATGAAAGAATATTACGCTAGGTGGAAAGTGGATCTGATCTAGTGAAACAGCTTTCATGTTTTTATTTCAAATTATTTTATATTGAAAGTGTTTCAGGTATTAAATAGACAGTCATTTTCATAAAAAAATTGTAAAAGGAGTCGTAGAAATATGGCTTTTCAACTCCATAACCATAAACACCAGGCTTGATCTCTGTAAAGAGCACCTGGGAAAAGTAAGAGAGCACAAACACCTTTTCAAGCTGTCTTTCCAGTGCTGCAGGGCGATCATCTCAGCTAGGGAGGAGATTAAGGCAGGGGAACAGCGCGATCCACGCTGGCCTGCAACTAAGTGAGTTCTGCCTCAAAATAAAAATTTTAAAATAGGTAGGCAATGCCACATGAGTGAGACCCTCTGCCATGTCCTCGGGGCCCCTCCACCCCTCCGGAGCCCATCTCCCAAGCCCACCAAGTGAGTGAGAACTTCTGCCGTGCTCTCGGGACCCCACAGACCCAGCCCAAGCCCAGGCCTTGCTAGGGTGTGGGAGAGTATCTGCGCTCTCCTCCTACCCCCTGGGCCAGGGGCAAAGGAGAGGGGAACAACAGGTTCACTGTTGTGCCAGAGGGGCACAACAGGTTCACTTCCAAGGGCTGCAGCAGGAAGGAGCTGAGTACAACAGCTAGACCCAAGCCAGGCACAACTGGATAAAGTCAAACTTAATAGACCTACACCTGAATTTCAGCAACTACCAAGGTTATAACTGCACCAAAGCTCTACATCAAAGATCAGAGGTCAGTGCTATATGAAATAACAAAGAGAAGGAGCAAAATGCTATCGCAAGCCTTGAGTCCAACCAGAACAAGTGCAGAGGACACTAGCTTAGTTGTGACGTATGAATTAATACCGTCTGAAGTAAAGAAACAACAGCAGAAAGGTATAAAGGAACTCAGATCAGAATTACTCTCTGAAATAAAAAAAGAAATATCTGAATTAATAGCATCTGAAGTAAAGAATCAATTACAGAAACATAGGGAGGAAACCCAATCTGAAAAAAACATTGCGGTAAAAGAATTTATAAGTGCTTCTAAAAAAGACATTGATAAAAAAAAAAAATAGAGATTAGAAAAATGATGGATTCCTTCAATGAGCAATACAGGAAAGAAATAGATCGCATGAAGCAGAGTCAAAGAGATACAGAGGAAATTAAAATCTCAATCAATCACAAGCTTGCAAAACCATTTAAGTGAAAGTGAAGACAGAGTTTCAGATCTTGAAGACACTGGGACAGCTACTGAAAAGGTAAGAAAGGATCTCTTAAAAACAACAAGGATGCAGGAAAGAATAATCAATCACCCGAAAGATGATGCAAAGATCAACAATGTGAGACTAATAGGCATCAATGAGAAAGAAGGAGTCAATACAAATGACATTAAAAAAATGTGGGCAGAAGTAATAGCAGAAAACTTCCCAATATGAGGAAACAATCTGACATTCAGGTAACCGAAGCATACAGAATGCCAAAGAACCTCAACCCAATGAAAAACACACCGACATATAATA